AGGACATTGCGGGTAAAGCTCCTTCGAGGAAGTCGGTGCCAGTAGTTGAAAATAATGGGAAATTCGATGGTAAAAGAGAAATGGTGACGCCAGTGATCAGAGCAAACTTACAAAAACAGGTATGTTTGTGTATACTGTGGCTTTGTATTTTGTTTCCAGAATCTTTTTCTCGGCAGTTGGGCGCTTTCAAACTTCATTTCTGCTGACAAGTTGCATTTAATACTAATCAGCAACGTTCAATTGCCTTCAAGTATTCCTAAATGACGCTTACTCTTGTTTCCTGTGCTTTGACGTACGTTTCATTTATATAAGAAAGAAAGTAGTTGGTAAGCTAATGCGTATGGAATATAGTAGGCATTTGAAAACTGCACAAGAACATTTCTAAGTTGTGATCTTCGTCTATAGTCATTCGAATGCCTGCCGAGGAGATTTACTTATGTGCCAACTTCTGCGCAGTACAGGGAAACCCATGCTCAGGGATTAGGTCTGGTCGCGTCCTAGAATGATATTATAACGGGATACTGCTATTATTCTTACTAAATTATATTAGTGGATAAGAAGGGCAATCCTTGGGCCTCTGGTGTTTAGAAATTACATTGATATCTGTTTCTTTTACCACCCATTCATGTTTACTGTCTGTTCAACTTGCTGTGATATGATATCGGTTATTTTCCTTATTGGATTTCTACAAATAACATATATGCATTTCATAGTTCCTTCAACTGCTTGAATAATCATGGTTTACTATTGAAGATTTTGATAGCTGACAGCTTCTTTTCTTAATGGGCTTTCCCCAAACAAATATGAATGTGCAGGGATACAAAATCATTGGTTCACACAGTGGTGTTAAAATTGTGTAGATGGACCAAGTCACAACTTCGAGGTCGAGGTGGTTGCTACAAGCACTCATTTTATGGCATAGAGAGTCATAGGTAACCATTATCCATTTTGATAACGATCTGTTTCCATGGCTTTTTTAAGGCTTGATACGTGTTTCACACCATCTTATAGATTGGGCGTTGGCTGATAATCATATATTGTTAAATCCATTAGCTTTGCTGCATGTCTGTGAGGAGTTTTATTTTTGTATTTGAGGGGAAGGCCTTCTGAATAATTCTTCAGCTGACATAGTTGTTTGATGAGTAGTAGCGTCTTTTCCTTTTTTTTCTAATTGGATTTTTGGGAATTAATCAGTGGAAGTGAGTTACGATAGCGTACATAAGTGATAGATGAATGTTCAGGAACCCTCTTGATGCAGTGGTGCATGATTTGTGATATTTTAGGCACTATGTTATTTTTATAATCCTTTTTTAATAGCAAAAACAAGAAAAGGAGAGAGACACACAGTTGGCTGCTTTAGCTTTTTGACTTGACCATGGGTTTCAATGGAGTTTCTGCCATTGTCAAAGGATGAATACTTCGCATTTATGTTCTTTTAATGCACCTTCTGTTTGATGCATTGATCATTAATGTTGAGCTGCCAATTTAAATGTCAAATATTTGGATGATACAGGTGCATGGAGGCAACACCTAGTTTGGCATGTGCAAATAAATGTGTTTTCTGCTGGAGGCATCACACAAATCCAGTAGGGAAGAGTTGGCAGTGGAAGATGGATGATCCAATAGAAATTGTAAATTCTGCAATAGACCTACATACTAATATGATTAAGCAAATGAAAGGAGTCCCTGGTAAATTCCCTTTTTTCCTACCATTTTACAATATCAGGCTTCCCTCTGATCAATCTACATATGATAATGATGAAGCAGCCAATGTGGCTATTGATGATTGCACCCGTTATTAACCATCAACTTCTATATTACTATGGCAATATGAGCTTCTATACATTACCTGATGTTCTATCTAAGCACACTATAAGCCATAATAGGGCATTGGCATTTTCCATGGCTGATTAGTCTGATGTGAAATGCCTGGCTGATGGCTTTTTCCTTGGTGCTTCTTAAAGCCTGTTTGTTTAAGATTGGGGAAAAAAGTGTTTAGTTAAGCTAAACACGAGGAAGTTTTTGGGAGCATGAGGGAATTGTTGGGAAAAATTTGTTTGCAACTCATTCGATAAGCTATTTGGAATAGCCTAATAGCTTATCAAAATAAGTTGAAAATAGATTTTTTTCCAACAAAACCTTCATGATCAGCTTAGGGGGTGTTTGGTAACCCTCAAAAATGCTTCTGAAAAGCACTTTTCCGCAAAATGAGACAAACTCTTTCATATATTTACTTCATAAACAGTAAAAGCACTTTTGAAACTATGATTTGGTTTCCATCCAAACACCCCTTAATGTTTCTCAACAGCTCCTTCGTGTTAAGGTTGACTAAAATCATTTTGTTTTAATCTTAAGTAAACCCAGCCCCCTGTGTGATTGATATTCTGATTCTGAAAATATGTTTACAGAGTGAACTATTGAGTTTTGTGTTGTCATAATTCCTAAAGTAGCTCCTAAAACATACTAAAATATAGTTGGCATTGAGTAGAAATGCATAACCCAGTAATGGTCCCAGTCCAACTGATGCAGATTGCTGAGAGCACTAGGCCTTCTACATCCCCACCCTTCAACTTGTTATTGCATGATTTAAATACAAAGTTGATTAATGCTTAACCAAGCATCTTTTCTTTAGGAGTCACCTTGGAGCGATTATCTGAAGGTCTCTCTCCTCGACATTGTGCATTATCACTTGTTGGAGAACCTATCATGTATCCAGAGATCAATTCACTTATAGATGAGCTTCATAGACGGCGGATTTCTACATTTCTAGTGACAAATGCACAGTTTCCAGAGAAGATTAAGTTTCTAAAGCCTGTCACCCAGGTTCCTGGGCTTTGATATCTTTCAAAATTTAAAATATGCTGTCTCTATTAGAGGCAAACTTAATTAATCTTTGTTTTGGCATTTTGCAGTTATATGTTAGTGTAGATGCTGCTACAAAGGATGCTTTGAAGGCAATAGATAGGCCACTTTTTGGAGATTTCTGGGAGCGATTCATGGTTAGTACTTTCTAACATTTATTGTGAAAGTACCCGCTACATATTAAGTGCAAATAGATTACTGTGACCATACTATTCAATTTATCTTTCACCTCCTGATGATTATCTTGTTTGAAAAACTGTGACAGGATTCCTTGACTGCTTTAAAGGAGAAAGAGCAGCGAACTGTTTATCGTTTGACCCTGGTTAAAGGTTGGAATACAGATGATGTGGATGCTTATTCTAAACTCTTTAGTATAGGAAAACCTGACTTTGTAGAAATTAAGGGAGTCACATATTGCGGCTCGTAAGTTCCTCCTATATCTCCATTTGTTCATCTAGCTTCTTGTATAGAGCATCGTTGCTGAATGGCAAATACTGAAATATTCACAGGTCTGCTACATCAAAATTGACTATGGAAAATGTTCCCTGGCATACTGATGTGAAAGCTTTCTCAGAGGCATTGGCTCTGAAAAGCCAAGGGGAGTATGAAGTTGCCTGTGAGCATGCTCACTCGTGTTGTGTCCTCTTGGCGAAAACTGAGAAATTCAAGATTGATGGCCAATGGTACACATGGATAGACTATGAGAAATTTCATGACCTGGTGAGTATGGTGGACTATATTCAGTTTGAACTATAGGTTTTTTTTTCCCTCAATTAAAATTTTTTTTTCTCACTTACAATGCAGGTGGCTTCTGGAAGAAGTTTTAACAGCAGGGATTACATGGCTGCCACGCCACCCTGGGCTGTCTATGGAGCCGAGGAAGGTGGATTTGATCCTGGACAATTGAGATATAGGAAGGAGCGACATCATAAATCAAGCCGATGATCATTCAGGTCAGAGATACAAGAAACTTGGGCCAGCAACCTCTGTTTCCCACCCTTTTATCTTTTTATTTTTTAGAAGTTTCATTACCAAAGCATAACTCAGTTGCTTATACTAGAGGACGTCATCTTAATACATGGCTTTGCACTTGGGATTAACCATTGCAATGTAATTTATCCCATCCCACCTTTCTGGTTTTCCCCTATTCAAGGAAGTTGAAGGTAGCACTTCTTGTTTCCCAACTCTTCAACTACTCTAAAGATCACGACGGTGAACATTTAGTTGTAGAATTGGGAAGCGTGCCTTATCGCAAAGTTCCGTTTGGTTGGTGCAAGGCATGTGAATTCCTTAAAAATTGAGATGTATAGTATTTCATTATATTTCTTTTATCTTTATTCAACAATCAACAGTAACTTTCTTTCTTATGAAGAGGGAAAATAAATACTCTGATCACTGTTCAACAATGAACATCTCGGAGGCTGAGCTTTTCGCAACAACATTCATAGAAATGTTGGACATACTATTTACCGCCAGGGATTTATAGCAGATGGCTTAACCAACTAAAACTACATGAAGGGGTTCTGATCTACTTGTTATGAGTGAAATTTTGGTTATCTTAATTTTGTTTTGATAAGTGGCAAGGGCACTTCCAAATCTCCAAGGTGTTTGCGTCCCACTAATGGTAAATTTGTATCAGACTAATTTTTATTGTGCATTGTGTATTGACCGTTCAAATTTTGTCTTATCATCCCTTACTCGTGTGATGATACCGGGAACGTTGGCATGTAATTGGTGTATCTTCCAGGAAGTTGCTTTATTCTCCGTCCAGGCGATGAACGTGGTTGCTTATTCATGCTCCCTTATTTGCAATGGGATTGTCTGATTTCCCATTATGCTGAAACATAATTTCACAGCGCGCTAACTATGCTGTGGCTATTTATACTTGCTACTTGCTAGATCCTTCCATATTCATTCATTCGCCAACCCGCTTTTTAGCAGAACGACAAACTTTGGACCACCATGGAGAGACCGCCTATTTCTATTTCTTTACTCCCCTAACTGATTAACGCTTCAACCATAGTTTACTTTTACAGTTGCGGCTTTTTTCAACCCCAGTTTTCTTTTATAATTGCAGATTTTTTTTAATCATTCGAAGTAAAGATCATGATTTTGGAAGGAGGCAAGATAACGAGAATTTGAAGTTATGAAGAAGGACTTTAGAGTTGAAAGGTTTTCGCTTGAGTAGGAACAAAACAGAATATATACATTGTAATTTTTGAAGGAGGCAATGCAATGGGGATTTGGAGGTGAAGATGGGGGGATCAAATCATTCCTCAAGTATCAAAGTTTAAATACTTAGGATCTATTATATATGAGGATGGGAAAATTGATGGAGACGTTTTTTATAGAATACAAACTGGTTGGTTAAAATGGAGGAAGACTACTGGAGTTATTTGCGATAAGAAGTTACCTGAGAGGCTTAAGAGAAAATTTTATTGGACTGCTATAAGACCAGCTATGTTATACAATAGTGAATGTTGGGCAATAAAGAGAAAACAAGAGCACAAAGTTGGGCTAGTAGAAATGAGAATGTTGAGATAGATGTGTAGTTATACAAGAAAAGATAAGATTTGAAATGAAAATATCAGAGCAAGAGTCGGTGTGAAATCTATCCAAGAGAAAATGATTAAAAATCGCTTAAGATGGTTTGGACATGTGCAGAGAAGGCCATTGGAGGCTTCGGTGAGGAGGGTAGATCAGACAATATGGAGTCCCATAGAAAGGGATAGAGGAAGACTGAGAAGAACACTTAATAAGATCATTGAACAAGACCTTCTGATCAACAACATATCTAAGAACTGGGTTATTGACAGAGTACGATGACGTCGTGTAATTCATGTAGCCGACCCCACTTAATGGGATAAGACTTGTTGTTGTTATTGAAGTAAACATCATAATTATCATCCAGGAAACCAGTAAATGATGATCATATTCAGCAGGTCATTGAGATTTTTTTGTTTTATTTTCAGAAATGAAACTTGAAGTATTAACATGTCTAACCGAATGAAAATTTCATCGTTCACTGGAGAGGCATCAATCGGAGAAAGTATCTGCTATTTGTTTGTTAGTATATGAAAACTGAAATGCAGGAGGGAGGTCTGTTTTTAGGAAAACGGGAAAGGTGAAGAATAAGATAGGAGGCAGGGACAGCCTTATAATGGGAGGCCTGCAGCCCTGTAGCCTATATAAGATTATTATAAGCAGTTAGTGTGTGGAGGATCCTGAGATATACCCAAAAACTCAGAAATAATGGGGCAACTTGTCCACACAATCAAGCTCGGGTCCGCTGCTGACCCACCGGTTAAAGCGCGTGTTTCTAGCGCGTCAGGGAGGACCCACCTCCCACCCGGCAAAGCTGATTTTACTCCTCTCGCCAAAAAAAAAAAAAAAATGGCTGATTTCACTCCATTCAGATATCAGAACCACTATCGTCCTTCTCACTGTTATGGCATCTAACATCGGATTTGGATTGAGATGCCCAATTGAACTTGAATTGAATCTTGTATTGTTAAACCTCAAGAGAGGGTTATATTATAATTTTGCTTTTTAAAAAATACTCATAAATAAAAACCTTTATTTCAACATCACTAAATCGTAAATATGTAGTTAGTATCTGGCAAAAAAATATAATAGTTAACATTTTTCAATTGAAATGCAGTTGAGAAAGATTAATTAAAAGGATCCGAATTCGGATAATATGATTTCAATTTTATTCTCATTAGTTATTTCCGCCGCAAAGGTTTTCTCCAGTAAACTTCAGTCATTTCATTCTTTCTGGCGATTTATTCCCCAAACAAAGTTTATTTTATTTATTTTCATTTTAAAAAATAAAATTACCACCCATCGCTCCAATCAGTTCCCAAATTCTTTTAATTAACATTTGACTTTCCAACGCATACATAACTTTTTAGTACTTGTATGACCCGCAAGGTTAAAAGCACTTCAGTTCTCTTCAATTTGTATTTCTCTTTCTGTTTACTTCGCTTCTGCAGTAATTTTAAAAGGATAAAACAATTTTTTATCTTTAAATTTGTCTTCATTTAAGTGTTGATCTCATCAAATTTTAAATCATATATTTTAGTCTCTTAAGTTTCTTTCTATTTAAAATATTAATCTCTCTAATTCAGTAAAAACCTAGACCGATTTATCTCTTAAAGGACTAAAATTAAAATGAGAACAGATTTGAGAAACTAAAATTTATATTAACCCAATTTTAAATTACTCAAATCAAATTTTAATGATGTAAATTACCATGTGTAATTTTATAAATTACTTGATTAAAACTATTAAAATTCAATTCAACAGTTCACGGGTAAATCTCAGAAGTGATACGGGCCTTTGAAGTTAGATGGGGTAATGATTTTTGTCGCATGTAGCTTTTAAAACCAACTTATAACAACGGCACATATACAAGTTGAGGGAAAGGGGAAAAATAATACTCCTCCGGTCCTAATTATAAGACCCAATTGACTTATTTGAGGAGATTAAGGAAGTAAGTTAAGTTGGTTATTTATAATAAATAAGTGTTGTCATTCCTAAATATCCTTGCTAATTAAGTATATTGGCTAAAACTATCATTATTAGAAGGATTATCTTGGAAAAAATGCATAAATATAAGAGACAAAATGGATTGGGGTCTTATAATTAGGACCAAATAAAAAGTCAAATGGGGTCTTATAATAAGGACCGGAGGAGTACTACTTGTGCATGGACGCAATTGCTTTGAGCATAGGTGATATAATGCTCTTTGACTTGTGTTTTCGACCTCTTTTTTTAAAACGGTAGCCCTTATCACAGGTTTGGTACTACCTCTGATTTTAACATAAGACCTAGTTTAATTTTTATTTTGATTTTAAATATAAGATTTTAATCTATTTGTTTTTCATATTTATTTATTTTTTTAATATAATCTTTTTAATAATGGTAGTTCTAACCTATAAATTTGAATAGCAAAAATATTTTAAGAAAAATAACACCAATTTATTACAAATAACTCGAATTTATTTTCTTAATATACTAAAATTAGTTAACTAGATCTTATATTTAAAACTAGAAGTAATACATTAAATTTCTTAAAACCTATACAAGTTATATAAAATTAATACCTTAATTATCTCTCTGATTTTAATAAGATGGTTAACAGAGCATACGTTACCAATAACAAATTGAGGGGGGAAAAAGCCGGTGTGTAACTCTGACGGGGCGATTACGATCATACGTAAAACACGGGAAGCATCCCCCCAGGCGAAAGATGGCCATGATGAGTAGATAAAGACCGTCCCTCGTCAACCCGCCCACCAAGTACGTGGACTTCACCTTCCACGTCAGGCTCCCTAGGTGGAAGAATCGGCAACATTGATTGGTCCGGTGAGGCGGCTACCACGTTCGGGAGTGAGCGTGGACTTCAACCGCCTTGATCCTTCACCCCGCCCACAAGACAATTTTTCCAGATTCATACCTACTGGCATCAACCCACCCAAATATCATCCCTATCTTCTTCTTCTTCGGATTACCCACGGTGTTTTATTTTCCCCCCCTTTTATTTTCTTCTATCACAGTCTCATCTTCTCTGCAATGATTGAAATCACGAGGCGAGGGGGGGGGGGGAAGGAATTTTGTTCTTCAAAATAATTCTACAACCAGGAAGGGGGGACTAAACAGGAATAAAGAAATAATCCCTTTACCCCGTAACGTAACAATGGCAAGCAATCAAATTGAGAGGATTGCGATAGCAGAAAGTATGAAGACGATAACACAGCTGCTACTTTAAGCGGCAAATTAATACAAACCAGTAATCTTATCTTTCTTTCTGATCGCGTTCGGATAACGAATAATAGGATTAAACTCATGAGCTATCACGCACGCAAAGTGATTTCTTTTATACTTGCGCTTCCCGAAATTTATCATTTTTCCGCAATACCAATCGTTGAAAACCCAAGCCAAACCATGAAACACAATAATTGTTCCTTTTTCTTAATGAAAATAAGGAAAAGAAGAGAGGAGAAAAGGAGGAATGATTGTGAGTTGAGGTATTAACTGCTCTTTCTGGGTTTGCTTTTCCGCCTAGCTCTGCTTCTCGAAGGCTCGCCTTTTGGGTCCTTTGAGAACTGTGTGCATGCCGATGATCCCTCTTGTTGCTGCGCATGACGTTGTTGTTGTTCCTGTTCTTGACCTTGTTCTTCTCCCTCGATGGTTTTGCCTTTTTCGATAAGCTTTCTGAAAACTTCAGCCCCACCTCCTGCTTCTTCTGCTATGTCTTCTTTGCTTATTTCTGTTTTCTCAGTGATCTTACGAGGCCTTCCTCTTTTTCGAGGAGTATGAGGTTGATTTTGTTGCTGAGTCTGAGGCTGTTGGGTGTCATCTCCGGTTCCTGTCGATGAAGCTTCAGCTATTGCCACCGATAGTTCTTTCGTTTTTTGTGGCTTTTTCTTACCCATAATCATAAATTATTTCCCCCTTATCAACAACACAACCAAGCTTCGATATTTCTATCTCCCACTCGCTATTTCTGACCTCTAGATCATCAGTTTTCCAACATCATCAAAACCAAATCCGTAACACGCTATTCCCTCTATCGATTCCACAAAAATTAAGAGGAGAGAGAGAGAGAGAGAGAGAGCAAGAAAACGCGGCAATACAGAAGATATTTCTTTTTGGTAAACCCTCGGAGTCCTCTT